AAAAAATCTGATCCATAATTACTCCTGTAACAGAAAGGAGAGTTGATACCATAGCAGAAGATTGAACTATATATATTTATTACTATTTATTACTATTTATTTAATACTGTAGATATCATTATTTTCATTATGTACAACGAGGAACATTAAATCCTTTTAGATTATCAATATTTGTTTCTCATTATTTCAAATACCAAAAATTGTTATTTTAAAATATTGTTTACTTATTAAAATTTATTTATTTATTTATTAATAATATATTTTCTATAATGTGTTTAAAGGGTTTTTATTTTTTTTAAAAAAAAAAGTAATTTTTTTTTTCTATCCCGCACATATCTATAAATATATTACACCTTCGTTATTAATATAATTTTTCATCTTAATATGTATATTAATTCTCCAAAAAAATAAAATAAAATATTTTTAAACTAAAAAGTCACCACACACCATATTAATATTTAATTATATTTGCATAGCTGTAATGATTCGAAGACGTCACTCTAGAAAGAGCTACATAGAGTTGGTCATGAGAAAAGACAGGGTTGACCAAGTATAGTCCTACACATGAGAGGCTTTGTCCTTGAGGTCTGTTAATGGACAAGACGTATAGGAAATTGTTGGCGTTGGAGCACGAAGGGTAAGTCTACCGTAGTCGGAGAGAAGGTGATGCGAGGAATGAATACTCGCATTCCTATATGTGTTCCAGTGATGATCTTTGTATAGATGGCAGCCTCAGAATTACTGTTATCATTAGTGGACATAATGGTGTTATAAGTAGATTATTATAATTAGAGGTAGATAAGTAGATAAGCAAATATTTTTAATAGCAGAGTTGCGGCTATATTGATAGCAAGATTTATTTATCATAGGATAACCAAATGATAATGTCCTTGAGCACTTTATTTACAATTACAATCATGCAGAATTAAAATTACCTTTTGATATTCATTTTCAATGTGTTGCAAATGCCGTACCTATTCCGTACTTTATATGCGGCGGAATCAAAAAGTACCTTTTCAGTATGTTACAAATTCCGTACCTATTTCGTACCTTATATGCGAAATCAAAACGTACCTTTTCAGTATTATCATTATTATTATTATGACAAACGTTTTAATTAATATTAATAAGGGGGAAATACTTAAATCTGTTGTAACAAGAAATGTGTTGTGGCGAGGTCTGCTGTGACGAGGTTTGACTGTAATATATAAAAAAAATTAATAAATGGTGGTTAACCGGTTAATTTAACCAGTTAATTTTAACTGGTTAATCAAAAAGAATTAACTGGTTATCTTAAACGGTTAACAGTGCCAACCCCTAATCAAAATACTTATATCAAATAAAAGACACCACATTATATCAATACAAATAAAAAAGTACCTCTGGTTAATTATTAACACACGCTCTTTAGGATCTTTAGGAGACCCAAGCCAAACCAAGCAACAACACTCACGTTTTGTCACCTTAGACTATCAAAAAATAAATTGTTTTTCCAAAAAAAAAAAATCAATTCGTGTCTGTCCTCCCAATAGGATAAATAATTGATGTGTACACGTCGATCAAATCACAAACTTCTTTTTTTTTCTCTTTTAAATATTTTAAAGATGCCAAAAGAAAATAATAAAAGAAAACAAAAATCAAGACCGTGAAGATATTTCAAAGTAAGTGTTTATCATAAGAGTGGCGGTGGTGGTCGCCACTCTAGTTATAATAATAATAATAATAATAATAATAATAATAATAATAATAATAATAATAATAATAATAATAATAATAATAATA